CTACTGCTACTGCTACGACTGCTACGTTTACTGCTTACCGCTGCTACTGCTATCTCTTCTATCGCGACTGCTACTGTTGGTTACAGAACATGAGTATGACTATGAATTTGTATATGGTGTTGAGTGTTGATGATAATGATGATGATGAGGGCATGACGACGATGATGCTGCGAGGATGATGCAGATGTTCATGGTGATGGTGCTGGAGTTGATCATGGTGATAGCGATGATTGATGAAGACGATGGCGCATGGCGACTTCAGCGACTGTGCAATTGGCACGGTGATCTTCATGTGACCAAGATGAGATTTGATATATCCGTTGCTAAAGTTCTTCTCCTCACTCGTTATTGTTACTACGATCATTACCCTCGGAGCCAAAGAAGCAGACTTGTGCAGGTTGCTGAATATCTGGGTATCGACGAAACAGGCTGGCAGGCTCGGGCCATGCAGTAACACTGTAGTAGGCAGACGGGGCTCAAAAAGCGAAGCGAGTACAGCACAGGTGTGGTCGAATTTAGTCGATGGAATGTTCTATGTGGACTGCTTCATCTACTTCTTCTGCAGCTTCCAAGATGAGCGTGGGCGGGAGGCACAGCTGCGCGAGCCTAACAGCCCCTGATTCCACAGATGTCGACTTGGGCAGCGCCAGGTAGACTGCCTGCCACGAATCATATATCGCTATGCCACGGGCAGCTTCCTCGTGAACGTTATGGCCAGTCTTCCTGATTCGGCAGCGAGGTGGCAATGATTTCCGGGACACCTTGACATTGGGGTACTAGTCTGTTTTCGATAATCTCGGATGCCCGAATCACGGTGACATGTTCCAGAAGCCTAGGCAGCTGGCGAGATGATGAAGGTGGTCAGTGGCCAGGAAGGCGCTGCGAGTAGGGAACCTGTAGTAGGCGGGTGGAGGCCTCGAAAGGCTGGAGGGAGCTGGCGCACCGACGGCAGGCTCCGACGGAACTAGCGCCCATCAAGCGGCGAGGTCGGCTTCGGCGCCAAATGTATCTCTTTCGCTCCCGCTCTCTTTCGCTCTCTCGCTCTCTCACTCTCTCGCTCTCTCTCTCTCTCTCACTCTCCTTCCGGCTTGCCTCTGAATCCTGACCGCCTGCCGGTAGCAGATCTAGAATGTCCATGATGGGAAGGACGATGCGATTGCAGAGAGCCTCGCGTTTGTTCCGCCTGGCTCGCATTGGACGGCTGGCGAAGCTGACCGCCATGAAGTCGTCCCTTGCTTCACAAGGGTCTGAGACACGTGTAAGATCGAAGCCCTCTGACTCTGGGACGCTTCAGGAGCCCACTGTGGAAGTGGTTGCAGACTCTCCGTGGAGTGCGCATTATCAACGTCTTGGTTGGTCTCTTCTTCTCTGTTCATCTGCTGGCCTGTGGCTGGTACATGTGCGCATCGCTGCACGCAGATGTGGAGGCTCGTTTCCTTCAAGATCGGGCAGCACATGTAGCCTTGTGTAAGGCTACATCAGCTCTGGCTTAACACACCCTCTTTAAAGTGCAGCCATGCACTGCTTTTCTTTGCTTTGTTCTGCAGTCAACCTGGTTGGCACGGAGAATGGTGGACGCAGATGGCACGAAGAGTCTACTGGATGAGAGTGATCCTGGTCTTCAATGGCTCCATGCCATGCCAGTTGGCTGCAGGACCTCAGGACGTAGACTAGCGTAGCCTTCATGACTTTAAGAAAGACGCACATGCTTGCACTTCTGGCAGCAAAGGTACTTCATTCTCACGGTGTTCACCACTGTAGGCGGCGTGCCGAAACCTCCTAACAGTTGGCATCGAATTTTTCGTCATTGCTTCGCAGCATGTTGCCCCTGCCAGCTTAGCTCCCATCAGGCTTCGGTGACATTGCTGCAGTCACACCAGGCCGGATGGGCCGCAAAAGTGTCCCGAAGCAGAGATCATCCGTGCTCGGAGCAGGTGAAATCCTGTATGTGGTCTTCACTTTCCTCATCGGTGCCGTGGTGCACAGTATCATTATTGGAGAGGCCCGTTGCCAGCTACATGCCGACTGTACAGCATTCCGCCATGTCGCGAGGTGATTGCCGCGGTCACCCGCGTCGACGAGCGGGGACAGTTCATCACCGAACAACGGGGCCTGCTGGAGCGTTTCGCGGCCCACACGGAGCTCGGCGAGGATTGCGTCATGGAGCTCCAGAACTGGGTAAATACTGAGGCCTGACGCCCAATCGTGCGGAGAGCCTTGCTTCGCATTGCCGTCGCTTCTTTCCACAGGCCGTGCGCTGGATGAACCAGAAGTACGATAAGGAAGCTGTGCGGGGCTTGCTGACTGGCAGGCCGGGCACTTCTCAGCCTTTGGAGATTTGGGTGCGCAAGATGTCGGGGATATGAGGGTATTTCGTGAGTTATGTAGTGGGCTGGACCCGATTGCGAGGATATCACGGTTTTGTTGAACATCCGACTTCACCACAGCAATACACCCCGAGCCAGTTCATCCTGCACCGCCCCGGGCTGGCAGAGCAACAATAAGAACAAGCACTTGTCTGCAGACACTTTCGCCCCAGGCACATGGCGCGTCACATTATGAACATGTTGCCTTGCAAGCTCTTCAAGGGCCAGTTCGCAACGAACCGCTTCTTCCTGAACTTGCCGCCGAGGTCCGATTGCCAGGGTCTGTTTCTCGTCCTGTTTCTGGGAAGTTTGGTGGCGCAAGTGGTTGCGCAGGTGGTGGCGGTGCGGCGGTGGGTGCTGCTGCTTTTGTTGCTGTCGTCACGGCGGATTTTTATCATCCTCGCCGTCGTCGTCGCCATCACTGTCGACTTGGTCGTGGCAGACCCTGTCAATGTCGCTGTCATCACAGACGTCGTTATGCTCTCGTCTTCTTGTGCTGTTATTCATGGGGGCCATCACGCTTTGCTGCTTCTGCTCCTGCTGCTGCTGCGCTGCTGCACGAATGCATGTAGCAAAAGCTTGCCATGGTAGTAGCACTTGCTGCGGCTAGTAGTGGTATGGTCGTGGTGGTAGTGGTGGTGGTGGTGGTGGTAGTAGTAGTGGTAGTAGTAGAAGAAGAAGTAGTAGTAGTAGTAGTAGTGGTACCGGGAGTGGAAGTGGTAGTGGTAGTGGTAGTTTGTAGTTAGTAGTTAGTAGTTAGTAGTTGGTAGTTGGTACTTGGCACTTGGCAGTTGGCAGTTGGTAGTTAGTAGTTCGTAGTTCGTA